ATTATTGATTGTGCAAACGATTCAAAGCATTTACAAGATTATCCAGTGCCTTGATTTAAATTCTATTTTCCATCGCAGGAGCCACATAAAATATGATGCCATTTGTCAATTCAGCGTGTCCGATTCAAATTTCTACATTCAATCTTCTGCATGTGTTACGCATCTCAGAAACCAAAAAACCTTTCTCGCCTGGTCACTTTTCAGATGACCATCAGCGTACGACTTGGGATGATTGCCGCCTTTCTTAACCACAAATTTGAAGAGTCATCGGAGGCCTTTAGCGAATGTTGAATAAGCAGGCCCTTTTCATGTCCTTTTACTCGATGAATCACCCTCAGTTCTCGAAAATGCTTTTTCTACCCTTTATGCATGTGACATTGAACGACTGACTTTGTTCGTTATGGATGATGTAGTTCGCTTCATGGCAATATTGCAACCGACTGTTTTTGCTTTGAATAGATAAATACACATGTAGGTCAAACTTAGTTTCAAATGAATCGTTTAATAAAAAGCAGTCAAAAATACAGCTGCATGTTTTCGGCTTATCCATATCAATGAGCAAACAAAAATTAGAAGCTGGCACGCAGTCACCCGTGTTCGTTACACTAACTGAACAAGGAACTCGACTGGTTGAACACTTGTTTCTGTCGTACATAAATATCATAGTGGTAAATGATCTCAGCGGTGCAGTAGGGGATTTATTTTACAGTGTTCTGCACGCAGGAAAGATGATCTCTCAGGTGGAAATAACCAGCTTCATCTGTGGTTCGTAGTAACGTCCGCTTTTCCGCAAAAATCAAACGTTAGAATTCACCGGTTTGACCTTTAGCGCCTGCTTGATCCGAGATCAGGCCTCTATATGGATAAAGTGTACGAAGAACGTCAGCGTTTGACTATTGATGTCTCTCAAGCATCATGATGTTTGGTCGGAACAGCCGAGAGATAATACTGGGTATCTCTAGGCGGTCCTGAAAATCTAACTGTTGCGCTATATATGATGATCGTCTCATACATGCATTACTTTTCAAATGCCCTCCCTGTTTTCTAGATAATTTTTAACAGTCATCCCATGCCTTTGTTACGGTCAGATGGCGAGGAGAAAATTTTAACTCGTGTTCCAGGCTGCTCGCCTGTGGAATATTGCGTCGGAAATAAATGTATGTGCAAAAACATCCCTAGCTTTGTGAGAGTGATACAGCAATCGTAAAGACGAATTCCTTTTAATCGCTATCCAGTACTGCACATAAATTTTGGGACTGAATTGAGGAAGCGACGGAAGAAAGAGAACATCCATTCGTATTGTTCTGGAACTACGATTGTCAAAATTCTTTTGCCGAGAGAAGCTTGATAAAAACGAATTTATAGAAGCACGAACAATTGTACGAGTAGCGCCATTTCGGATTAATATTATGTCCTCAACTAAACTAGATTGTTAAAACGAAAAACAAACACCATAAATCACAACCACTTGCCACGAATATTGTCTCACAAATAAAGGTCCATGCCAAAACAGAACCACAAAATCGTAATAAAATAAATTAACGGAAACGCGAACAACAAGATGCATCCTATTGTTCTAGAGTGAGATAACGCAAGAAGAACGCGTTTCTCAGTTTGACTTGATCGACAAACTTCCGGGTGGAAGAAATAATCGTGGTCAAAAATGATACATAAGAAGGCTATTTTTTACCGCAAATCCGGAATACCGGCTGGTATGATTAATCCTAAAAACAACATGTGAATGTTGAAACTAGTAAATATCCCATGTTTCATGAGCTGCTACGCAGCCAACATATTAATTCATAACTGATCAAGATACGTTACATTCGACGCGCATACGTAAAAAGCGTGACAAACAAATGACTCAGTTCGAAGCAAGTTGAATCTGCGGTAAAATAGTACACATTCCAGAAATGGAATTGCGGCCGTTTATTAGAATTGTTAAAAAACGGATTGTCGATATAAAACACGGTTCATATGTTTTGAGTCAGCGACTTCTAGGAACATCTTAGTAGTGCAAGCTAAAATCAACGGAATCCGGCTTCAAAATACTTGATCACAGACTACACGAAATCTGTTAGTGAGTTTGACAAACCCATACGCGTCAAGGTGTACCATCTGAGAAGTTTGTGTCTCAGTCATGTGGAATCTAATTAAAGGTATCCGGAATTACGGCTAGTTGCCGTATGTTTCTTCTGCCTTGTTTGAGACAGTTCGCCTATATAACTCTATATACGTTTCTTCACCGGGAAAAATCAAACGTCCGTGGTGCCAGTTATCCTACTCTGAGTCAAATTGAACCAAGAGGTTTCGGATGACTGAAAACATGCATACCCCTCGCAACGAACCAGCCTTCCTGCGCAACTTTGTCTCAGCCAGAGCATGACGTATCTGGGAAGTCCCGCGATTCGTTCGAGGTGAGTCACTTTAACATGCCAAATACGACCATACTTTGGCCGACCATCTCAAATATCGCACCACCGCAGATAAACAACATCTCCCAAATTGGGTATCCTGCTGCACGAAAACCGCGACTTGTGGGTTTTATGGCGTGGGTTTGCCCCAATCGGAAAGTTGAACGTAACTCACTGACTCCCGAGACGTATACGGTCGTCTTCACGCTTCCAGGTTTTAAAGGAACAAATAATTTCTAAAACGTTTGATATGGCAAACATGCTTATTGGTGGTTCCAGCGTGCGCTATGGAACAATGTAATTTTTTCTTCAGGAAAGACAGGTGCCATGAGACGTTTTCGGCTCTGTTTGGCTCAGCAGGTGTTACCAATATAACGGTACCAAACGCCTTAATTTAGACACCTGAAGAATGATGAAAGAAAATTATTATCTGAGCCTGGATTTTACAAAATGAGGAACTTTAGGAGCAGTGATCATTCATGCGGTGAAAACCACAACAATGACGCTCACCAGATGACCACTCCTTTCAACAGTTCTTGAATTGGTTTAAATTTGTTATATGGGTAATATTTTTTTGTTAATCGTCGTGTGAATACTTCGCGGTTAATGAGAGTTATTCAATTTCTTATGCAGCGACTATCGGTGTGACGGATGATCCGCTGTCTTGGCTAGTATCAACCCGTCAATCTATCGTTCCTAAATCCATCGTGCAATAAGGCAAGCGTGATCCAGTTGTGTGACATATTTTAACAATACAGTTCGTCTACTTAATGCAAGATGATCACCAAAGTGACAAGGCAGCTAGTTGCCGGGTTCCATAATATAAATATATGTATATAATATTCATATCTGAGTATAGATAATTGTATCTAAAATCTGTCTAATTAAATGATAAGTTGAATTACACGACGTCTTTTGTGAATCCGTGGGCAGCCTCTTCTTAAGGAATTCACCACAAATATAAAAATAATTTTTCGTCCTCAAGTACGCTACGTTAAGATATTGAACGAAGCATGTTGAAACGGCAGTAAACGTCAGAATACGATTGAACGAAACACACTAATTTGAAATGTCATAGATACCCCGGTGTCATACACGTATTTCGAAAGTATTCCATTTATTTCATCATACAAAACTTCTTCACGTCGGATGCATCCTTGATTGTGTATTTTTTTAATCTGGGTCGCTAGATGGCCACATAGATACATCTTTCTATCTACCGGTATCACAAATTCCAAGTATACATATGTATATCACTGATGCTCTTCCCATTGAAATTGGAAAATGAGTGGACGGAACCTGAGAAGAAAATTTTCAATTGTTCATAGGTTGCATAATCTTTGAGGCGAAATTTCCGACATTGAATTTTACGTTTACGTTGACAGATGTTCAGTGTACCTAGAAGGCGTTTGGAAGAGACAAGGGATTAATCAATGAAGCATATGAATCGACGTAACACAATCTGACCAGTTGCCCAAATCTTGCTGTGGAATAAATCAAGCCAGCTTCCCCACCTTGGTATCATACAATCATATTGAATGGAGAATAGGACTGAAGGCCATCTGTAAAAGCTGTCTCTGTGCTCGATATCTTTTGCAATGTGTGGGCTTCCACATCTGTCGGAAAGTTCGGACAGTGAATTTATCCAGTATTTTTTGACGTTGTTTCGTTCGCTGTAAAGTATCGTAAATTTGCATTGCCAGTTATTGCCTGTGAGATTCATTACGTTGTGGCATTGATCACCGTTTCCCGTCACTTGTTTGCCGGTGGAATCACGATATCTTTATTCTTCTTCATCTCGTGCATCGCGTCTATTTACATATAGCAAAACACATTGGGTGGTCTGTTGAGTAGGATGTCTGGAATGACCGTTTGACAGTGTTGTTGTTGAGCGTTTTCATCGAGTACAAAAAATTTCACCGCTGCCTCTGGACTGTCCAAACACTACAGGAATGTCGCGTTTTCAAGCCTACGTCGGATGGTTTCTGGAACGGCTCCTTATTCACTCGTCGTTTTGATTATCTTTGCACTCCCAGGCGCATTCAGCATTTTTTCGTTCTATCACCAATGTGAGTTGCTCTGTGAGATTTGGCTCTATTGCGCACCCACAGGCATAGTGTGGTTGTGGGTTCTTGCCTGGCAGTACCCTAACTGGATAATCGGGTTTCAGACATCGTGTATTAGCCGAAATATGCACCGAGTGAATTAATGATTAAACACATCCGTCAGACATGCGCCTTTTTGTAGCTTGCGTACAACCACCAAATATTGAGGCGGAACACAATCTGCTGCTTGATCTTTCAGTACTTTTTAAGTGATCCTGTCAGCATTAGGATCACTTCGATTGGCTTGTTCCAAATCCTGCTTCCCATCTCTGGAGTCTCAGAAAATCTGGTGTCATTTGTCAATTCGGCGTTTCCGTTTCGAATTTCTTCGTCCAACATTCTGCATGTGTTTATCACCTCAGAAACCGACATCTATATTCAGATGACCAACAACGTGCAACTCGGGACACTTGCCCTCTTCCTTAGCAACGAATTTCAGGGGGTCTGTCGCGAATGCTGACCAAGCAGGCCCTTCTCATACCTTTTCCGACGAATCGCCGTCAGTTCCTGGAAATGTTTTCTCCCCCCTTTCTGCATGTGGTATTGAAAAGCTTACTCCATTCGTTGTGGATAATGTGTTTCGCTTGCTGGCGATATTGCAACCGACTGCTTTTGCTTTGAATAGGAAGAGGTACATGCAGGTCAACCTTAGTTTCAAATGAATCGTCTAAATAAAAAGCAGTCTAAAATAAAGCTGCATAGTTTCGGCTTACACATATCAATGAGTAACCAGTAACTGGAAATTAGGTCGCAAGCACCCGTGTTTGTTACATTGACTGAACAAGGAATTCTATATTGCTTAACATCCTGTTAAGTATGTATGTATGTCAGTATGACTGAACAAGGAACTGAGTGAACACTTTCTTGTATCGTACCTGATCGTCCTTCTGGAAAATGATCTCAACGATTCAGTGGTTGACTCATTTTACATTGTTCTGTATGCAGGAAAGGTGATCTTCCAGGCCGAGCTAATCAGATTACCTAGTGTTCGATTTGACACCCGTTTTTCTGCAAAAATCAGACTTTAGACTGAACCAGTTAGACACCCCGACTTAAAGCAGCCCCCTTGACGTTGTTGTCGGGCTTTAGTGCTGCAATGATCCCGCGGGCTACACTGGCTGGAACTTCGTTTCACAAGGTGCAACCATGCCAGGAAATCCAAAGGGGAGCGACCAGACCAAGAGCAGCGAGACCCCGTACTGCGATTTATCGTGCTACGAGGCAGTCTGTGGGTAAAGTCGTACCGCCCTCTGCGAAAGGAGTGTGAAGGCAGTAAGGTGTTTCCCCCAGGCGACCAGAATGCATAGCTTATCCATATCAATGAGTAACCAGAAAATGAATTTAGGTCTCAAGCACCCGTGTTCCTTACACTGACTGTACACAGAACTCTACTGGTTGACTGCCAGTTAAGTATGTTTGCCAATCCCGCGACTGATGTTCATTCCTTTTTACACCAGGTTCATTCCCGTGTAACTCGGCTGTCACGTTATTCAAAATTGCTAATTGTTTTTCGCTTACAAATACAAGTGATTAAGATATGTCTAAATTGTTGAAAGTCAGTTCGGTTTCGCGCGGTGACCAAGAAATATCTGGACAGTAGCACATTTTTTCATACCCACGCCAGACTTGGACATTATCAAGATGCATTTTTCAACATTATGTCCTGGAACCGAGTTAGACAGCGGAAACCTTGTAAATTATGTTGCGGATTTTCGAGCATTTTTGCCTGTTGTGTTTTACACTAAGCAGTGACAAATTGGCGTAGAGATTTGGAAAATGTGCTGAGCGTGCATTTTGATTTTTAATCAAAGCAGGATGTTTCACTATAGATGAGAAAACTTTGGGTCACGCCATATGTGGGTGATGGATGTCCACTCAATGTCCAAATGAACAACAATAATTTCTGATAATTTCAGTATATTTGCACGACAACCAGTGGTCCTCCACGATTATGTCAGTGAATTTCACATTTTAGACATATGGCAAAATTCGACAAAATTGAATGTGCTAGCTCCAGTTTAACTGTAATCAAATCGGTAACCCCTCAAAATACAGGCAACACACTCAAAGCTTTGGAAACAGTGTACAATACTCGGTAGTAAAATTATTAAAACCGGAAGCCACAAATATTGAACAACTTCATTTCCCAATATTCCCGACAAAAGTGACGGTTATCACATTTTAAAAACTACCAAATACACAGGCAGGATAGTTTGAGAATATATTTGACCTCCTTCGTACGACATGACAGTTTGTCAACATGTCGGAAAACGGAGTTGGCTTCTTTGCAGCACGCTTTGAAATACTTAGCAAATGAATTACTGTGTCGCTACCAAACCTGCAAAGTGTGGCGAATCTGCTGTGTTGCCATATTTTTAACGCTTCATGTCGGGAATTCAGCCAATAAAAAATTCGCACATAAAACATTAAAGTTATTACAGTACGATGTCGCTAGCGGGTTTCTCAGAGTGAGCGATATTCATCTGTTAACTTACATGCGGGCTGGTGTAGACCAATTTAACTACTATTTGTTATATGAAAACGAATAGAGAATTGTTCGCAAAACAGTGGGCCAGTGGAATGGATAAACAAACACGTTGATTGATCCAAACGTAATAATTTCGAATTTTGCCAGCGGACGCCAATTCAAGTAATTCGATGTGAAAAGAAACACCAGCGCAAGGTTTGACAGTTGTGTTTCATGAATCCCCAACCTCTAACCTGAAAGATAAGACTAAATACACTGCTTCTTGATGAGCCGTGGCTAAATTCGTTTTTTCGCAGGTACAAACTTAATTCATTCAACTGACGGCCAACAAGATAATAGTTTTCGAAATATAGTAGTTTCACTGATGCTGCGCCAGAAGGTGCATTTCTTGATGGTTCAAATGTTTCACCTACTTCAGTGAAGGTGTATCAACTGGAATGTTCCGCTTTAAAGTTCATGCATGCTAAATTCAAATTTCGCGTGCCATTTTCTCAAACCAAGTTAAGCAAACCAAGTTAAGCAATTAGAGTTTCGGGTTAAGCCTTGCCGGTATATTTGAGCTTTGCAGTTTGGTCCCCTTGTAGTACCGAATCAGTCACAACAGGACAGCTTAATGTGTGTATCACTTTTATTAAGGTGAGAGCAGCCTGGTCGTACCATAAGACTTTGTCTGAAAATAATCCAGAAATGGTAAAAATCTGTCTGTCGGTGATTAAGAAAGTGTGTTTACTTAGAATACGCACAAGTTCGAAGAGTGATTTTTTCATCAACCATTCCCGAGGTATATGTTTCCGCGAATCAACAATGTCTGGTACCTGAACATTTCGTGATGATGCCGCCTATAGTTAATGCGAACATGACACGGCATATACATGTGCCACTCAGTAGCAGTGAGAATGCGTGTGTAGATTGGAAGTGAGATTATAGCCACAAGTGTAATGGTGTAACGTAGTTTTCCGAAACGAAGGGGTTTCGAAGGCCTAACTCCACGAAAAGCTTCGCTCTCTTACGGCCTCTACGGAAACAGAAGACCAGCTTCTCCAATCGCCTTTCGTTTTATGTAACAATAGCTAAAGTAGTGGTTAGCAAGTTTGTTCCTGTTGCAGATGTGACAATTATCTGGAAAAAAGCTCTTTAGTAGAACCAAAAAACGCTTACACTTTTGGTCTTCCCAGCCTGGTCGGTTTTGCATTTAATTCAGGCGGCCGCCATTCCATTATAATTTTATAGAGTGGACCCCTTTGATTGCAGGATGGGTAACCTGCAATAATTCAAAGCCAAAAAATTACATTTTTTGTCAAATCAAAATAAGTCATGGTGAGTTAGACACATTTGTAAGCAGTTCTTGGATTATATTTTATGGAACGCGTTATATGGCTTAATTTTCACATAGCTGACGCCTCTGGTATTTGAATATGAAATGTTTGAGTGGTTGTACCGTCTTGGACGCGTAACCACTGCTGCTTCAGGACACATAGAGTTAGATTTACCCGGCTTACAAACCCACTATTACTCTCTCTCTAAAAACACTCATTCAAACCAAAGTTTAAAACAATGATTCAAGCAAGCTTTCTGCAACAGAGCCATTCTAATGGCCAAAGAAGCTTCTGTTCGCCCTCCAAATCAAAAGAACTGGCGGTAAATCTGGCCTATTTCTCAATTGGCCGCCATATCCAGGCTGGAATTTCTTAAACTGCATGCCCCATGGTTTTTTCAACCACCCTTGCAGATTTGCAGGAATATAAGCGGAACCAAGTGTCAAGAGAGAAAAGTTAAATTAAGACTGGCGTGATTTTAGCGTGTTCTTTGAACGGCCTTACGGTACTCACTAAATGGAAATAATAAGTCATGTTTTGAATCAATAGAAAACTTCTAACAAATATGCCCATGGAATGTAAAGGTAACCTGATAATTTTCACGGTGTTTCATTGTCACATTCTACTGAGGCGTGTGAGAAGCTCTTGCTGTGTTACGTACGACGTCTGCAATTGACCTTCAGGTTATCTGGGTCTGCGCAAAATTCTTGTAAACCATGAAATATAATTTCATAAAATCCACATTTCCGCCTAAGGAGTAAACCTCTTGGACAGAAATCCACGTTTGCGATAGTTTTATCGCTAAAGCATGCATCGTATTCTCCCAGTGTTGTCCGGCATGGCATTTCCATCTTACTCCTAAATGAGGCAAAACATTCAGAGCAATAATTTGTCTTTTTTTAAACTTAACACAATTCAATTTGATATAAATCCAGCATGAGCAGAACAGCTAGTTAACCGACTTTTGAAGCACAATATCAGTACACAATACTGGAACAAATACTCATTGCTTGAACACCAAGCTTGTCGCATAATAGTGGTAAAGGCCCAACTGAGTTGTGGCACATTGTAATTAAAGTAGGATTAAAAACTATTGAAATAATTTATAAAGTATTTGGACCATAGGTAGAATATCATTGTTTAACATCATACTACTCTACTGCGGCGCAACACAGACCGTAGGAACTACACTAAAAATTATTGTGGACTGAGGCAGAAATAATTTGTATTTGGACCATAGGTAGAATATCATTGTTTAACATCATACTACTCTACTGCGGCGCAACACAGACCGTAGGAACTACACTAAAAATTATTGTGGACTGAGGCACAGACATAACTTGATATCGATCAAACCAATTCATGTTGGACACGGTGGATACACACCAAATTTCACAACGTTTTGTACAGGAAGCAGCAAATAAAAGCGATGAATAAGTGATTGCGAGGGCTTTTGCAGCTAATGCGGTCTTCACACTTGTTGACTTAACGTCACATCAGTGTCTTCTGAAGTGGCGTGACAGGGCGTACAATGTTCGATAATTGAGTGTTTCTTAATGTTATGTTTGATGTTACACGTGGTGTTATTCAGAACCGAAATTTGATCAATATTAGTCTTTTGATCAATCTTTTCCTTTGGTTTTCGCGACTTCCCGTGTTCCAACTGATCGATGACCGTGTAAGGCTTCAGAGCTCTTCGATTTTTCTGGTACTGCGGCGGATGCATCGGTGACCCGTGGGCTTGAACACTCCTAGTTCCGTTTCGTAATACTTCCCTTGACTTCGAGTAGTCCTCTTTTGATTGATATCTCCTTGAATAGTCCGGTTGAACGTTGGTCGACTGCATGCAGTGGTGTCAAATTT